CCTTCTCCAGAAGCACCATAGAGAGCGTTCTGAGCAGCTGTCTCACTGTGTGGAGTGGAGGCTGCAAAGCCTCAGCCTACTAACCTTGGACATCCCGTATGAAGATCAACCAGCTTCAGTTCAAGGAAGGGGAAATGATTGCCGCTCCAGCCAGTAGGCAGCAGGGCTTCCTGCAACGGGAACCGAGCAACGAATGATCCAAAGAGCTGAAACGCTTAAGCCACACGAGACCAACCACACGCATCACGCAGTAAGGAACAGAGTCCTAGACGGCGCCAACATATACAGCTGCTGATTGGTCACCCAGGGTGTCACTGGTGTAACTAGTTAATTACTCCAACTGCATAGGGGCCAAGGGGAACATCCAGTAGGGATACAGTAGAACCGTTAACAGCGTCTGGTTTCCCCCACAGAACCCGTGTCCTGAACCCGGAGCCTCCTTCCTCTCCAGGATCACCTTCTGGTGGATCACAGGGTGAGTAGAGCTGCTGTGAGGTCAGAGAGGAGAACCCCAGCAGGAAGGAGACGGTCCTGCAGAACAACGAAGCTTTCAGTCGTTTTTAGCCTCTACAGACCCCATCTCCTCCATGTGGGTCCTGGATGGAAGCGGTTCTACCAACCTGTTGGACCTGTATCCACAGTGCAGGTCCAACAGGAGGACCAGAACCAGTGCTTCTAAGAGCGTCTGATCCAGAGGTGGGGCGTTAAAGCTGCTGTTCTGCAGGATGGAAACCCTCAGAGGGAGCATGGAGGACGTCTGAAGGTGGAGTTGGTCCTCTAACCCTGCAGCAGAATGGCTTCAGGTACCAGCCCGGTACCAGCAGGATGTTCTGCTGGTACCGGGCTGGACGGGTTCACAGCAAAGACATAACGTCTGGTGGTTAATGGAACAACCTTCAGATGTGTCACTGAGGACTGGAACGGATCCATCGGGTCTGTTCTCCTGAAGGTCTCATTAGAACTCCTTCTGTTCTGAAGGTGCTTGGTTCTACCAGATGAGACGTCTGAGGAAGGACAGTGTACCCGTATGAGACGTTTAGGGGTTCCACCTCCACCACGATGCGTTCGCTGCCTGTCTGAACATTTTTCCTCCTGTTGTTATCAGAGGGTCTCTGGGATCAGGCAGAGAGGGTCTCTGGGATCAGGCAGAGAGGGTCTCTGGGATCAGGCAGAGAGGGTCTCTGGGATCAGGCAGAGA